TCTCTCTCTCTCTCTCTCTCTCTCTCTCTCTTTTTCTCTCTCTCTCTAGTAACAATCTCTTCCACTAAAGTTATTCTAGAAATCTAAAAAAATTAGATTTTTGAAAAAATTAAAGTATTATTTCAAAAATTGATACGCATTCTAATAATTTATATATTGATAACCAAACCTTGTATTTTATTTATTAATTTATTTACATTATAAATTATGTAATGTACTATTTTTTCTTACAGTTGTCAATAATATATTTTAAATTAGATGATATTATAAAATATTTTGGATTTGTTATTATATGTATAGTAAAATAATTATAAAATATAAACCAACAATTTTAATTTCAGTATATAATATTATGGTTAGTTAGGTTGTAATAATTTTGAATTATAGTTAGTTAGATTGTAATAATTTGGGTTTTTTTTTTTGGTGGATTAGGGTTTTTCGCCAATTCGAGATTTTGGTAGCTATTTTTCATTGATTTAATCCATTCTTTATTGTAATCCATGGATGATTATATACTTCATTGATGATATTTCAATGATTTTTCTTTTGTGTGATGTAAATTTAATGGTTAAAACAAATTCATACAGGGAAAGAACATCTCAATATTTTAGTATATTGATAGAAAAAAATAAAAGTTAATAATGTAGTACCACATTTCTTATTGGATTCCTAAAAAACAATATTTATAATGATTTTTAATAATTTTTTTGGATTTTTTTATTGTCTAATCAGACCGATTCGATCGATTTTCGATCCGAACCGTTAATTCACCGAACCAGACGGGTTTTTGGGGTGCCTGATGAACCACTGGATTGGACGATAGGGCATTATACTTTTGTGGAAATAATTATACAAGGGAAGTGTTCAACTTCTATGTTTCTTATCACTGAAGAAGATATATCAGGGACTGTGATGAGCATTAAATTAGTGAAGCAAATTATCAAAGGCTTCCAAGTCGGGAGTAGAGTCTCTCTCATGAAAGTGTCTGCATATGGTTTGTCTGCAAAACTTATAAGAGCAATAAATCAAACAAAACAGAAGCTTGTCAATAACCCTTACGGTACTTATCATGCTAAATTTATTTAACTTGGATTCATGAACATTAACAAATTAGAATTGGTACTTCTAATTAACCACCACGCTACACAAATCACAGACATCTGAGTTATGTTTTGCTTTGTAGACAAGATTCATCTGCACTGCCATCATGCTCAAGCGATAGAGAGAAGAAAACTTCGAATTGAGAAAATTATTAATTTCTGAAACAATTTATGATACATTGTCATCTTTTTAAGGTATATGCCCAACACTTCAACACTATGATACAGTTAAGAGAATCACCAGAAATCCCCACAAGAACATAGGCCTCCCTCAAACCGATGAAATCGAGCTGCATCTCTCACTAGAATTTGTCTCCTGGTTATCTTGGATATGAACTTTGTAGCAGTGTGACAATCACCACACACTCTTAGGTTCTTCACAATTCTAATAGGCACGCCCTCAGGTAAAAACATCAGCCCAAAAGCTATGGCCAACTTCTCACTATGGTGGCCAAGCATCTCCTCTTTCCTCTCATCCTCTACATCATGGAGCACAGAGTTCAATTCGGGAACATATCCCTCATCCTCCATTCTCTCCCTAAGCTTCTCCAGCTCCCTATATATCTGATCAGAACATGGGTGAGTTTTATCATCGGCCATAAAACAATGAACTTGGTTCTTGTACTTGATCCAGCTAAAACCAGGCTCTTTTCTCACTCTTCTCTCTCTCATGCCTCTTCTCACACAAGCCACTCTCTCCCACTGCCCCAATTTCGCGTATATACTTGAAAGGAGAATATAACTTGCAGGGTTATTGGCTCTAGCTCTAGAAGAGAATCCGCAGACCATTTGCCAAGAGTGGGATCTCCATGGAGTCTGCATGAGCTTAGAAGAGAAGCCCAACCAGTAGCGTCAGGTGGAAATGGCATCCTTTTAATGAATTCTTCAGCTTCTTTTAGCTTTCCAGCCCTTCCAAGAAGATCAATCATACAAGTATAGTGGTCAGAAGAAGGAGAGATACCATGGGCTTTGATCATGGAATCATAATATCGAATTCCTAATTCAACTAGACCTCCTCTACTACAAGCCGAGAGAACAGCTATGAAAGTTACTCCATCTGGTTTAAGATTGGTACTTAGCATTTTTTCGTATAACTCAATGGTTTCTTTAGCATTTCCTTGTTGTGCATAGCCTGAAATCAGAGCAGTCCATGAAACTTGATCTCTCACCTCCATTACAGCGAACATTCTTTGAGCTTCTTCGATGCTTCCGCACTTTGCATACATAGTTACTATGGCATTGGCCACCGTGAGAAAGGAATTCAAGCCTGTGATCACTGATTTACAATGAAATTGAGAGCCTTCTTCCATTGAGGCAAGACTAGCAGAGGCACTAATAACACTTCCTAGAGTGTAATCATCAGGTTCAATCCCATTTCTTTGCAATTCACAAAACAATCTCATGGCTTCTTCATTGAACCCATTTTGAGCATAACCCACAAGCATGGCAGTCCAAGAAATTACATTCTTTTGGGGGATTTGAGTGAAAATAGTTTCTGCGCTTTTAATAGCCCCACACTTCGAGTACATGTCCACTAGAGCACTACCAGCAAAGAGATTCGACTGATAATTTGTTCTTATGATATAGGCATGGATCTCTTTGCCTTGTTTTAAGGCCATCAGAGCTCCAATTGCAGTTAAAACACTCCCAAAAGTGAACTGATCAGAAGCTGAATCTGCAAATTTCATCCCCCTAAAAAGCTCGAGAGCCTCTCTAGAGTGCCCATTTTGCATATATCCAGTGATCATGGTTGTCCAAGAAACTGAATCTCTTTCTCTCTCTGGCATTTTATTGAAAATCCTCTTAGCTTCTTCGACCATCCCACACTTGCAATAGCCAGTAATCATGGTGTTGTAACTAACACTGTTTCTCTCTGATAACTCATCAAATACCCGCCTAGCCCCTTCCAAGTTGGAACATTTTACATACATATCGATCAATGGACTGGTTACAAAAGGATTGGATTCAAAACCAATTCGGATAATTTGGCCATGAATCTGTCTACCCAGTATCTCTAAAAACTGCTTTGAAGAGAGAATCAGCAAGAGAGAGAAAGTTATCCTATTGGGTGTTTGGGAATTATGCAACATCTCTTGATAAACTTTTATCGCGGTTTTTCCATCACCCCAATTCGCATAACCAGATAAAACAGCATTCCAAGAAACACCATCTCTAAGGGGCATCAATTTGAAGAGGTTTTCCATCTCTCTAAGAAAACCCCATTTTGAATAACCAGTTATCATGGAGTTCCATGAAATGAGGTTTTTGTGGGGCATTCGGTCGAACACTCTTCGAGCGTAGGATAAATTCCAAGACTTTGCATACAGGTTTATGAGGTTGTTGGTTACGAAAGTGTCTGTATTTTCCACGGTTTTGAGAATAAGGCAATGGAGCTTCTTGCCATGGTGGGGCTTGGAAGGGTCTGGTAATTGTTTGAGGAGAGAGGAGAGGAGGGCCGAGAGGTTGGTCATGGAGGTTTGCAGATTGGGTTTTTGAGGAGAGAGAATGGGAGGATGCTGATGGTGGAGTGAAGAGAGGGTGGAGAAAGATGAGGTTCTTTGCTGGTGGAGAGATGGCATTGTGAGGCATCCTCTCTCTCTCTC